AAATAAAGGTTAACTTATAAGCAACATATTTTATTGTCTTTATTATCACCGGAGCTTATTGATGTTAAAGACGATATATAATCATACTGGCCTCCAACTCGAGGGACCAGGGCTTAAACAAGGAAGTTAACAATCGCCTTAGCTAGTCAACTTTTGTAACTGGATGCATAGGACAAATAGCGTTATTTTGTATAACAAAATAAAGGTTTTAATTACTTACAAGCAACATACCTTATTCTTGTCATTTTCAACGGAAGAAAAGTACTCTTTTGTAAAATCTCTTAAATTCATTACAACTCTGTTGTTACTAAATAAACACAAGAGGGCCTGTTATTAAAAGGTTTTGCAACAGAAACATAACTAGAAAAGTTAACCTTTGTAACAGAGATGTTCAAAGCGTACAAAAAAATCACTGCAAATTTCCTGACAATCACAAAGATTGAATAAAACTTATTTCATTACAATACACCTGTTGTTTAGTAAAGCTGCAGAGAGGGTTCCCTACACTTTTTCCGTGAAACGTGATTCAGTTTTTCATTTTATCCTGATTTGTGATTGCCCAAGACAATTTTACGTGAACGTGAAAGCGGTCTTAAAATTAAGCGCGACACGTGAACGAAGATTTCATTAAAACGTGATTAGCGAACTACACTTTTAATTTTTGCGTGTACTGATTTTTTGTTCTTTGGTTTAGGGTGTTTCGCTTCACTTTTTCGCAGACTCTACCGATGTGAATTAAAGTTTGTCAAAATGCAGTTTTTAGTAAAATCGGTATCACTATGAGAACCATAAGCAAAAAACTTTAAAATCGATTAAATCCGAATTTCGCGCGATCTAGACCTGCTACTGAAAATCCGACTCCAGGACCTCAAAGTTTGGTATTAAACAAAAACCTCCGTGAGAAGTAAAAAAATTCTGTATGTTTTAATTCAAATAAAACGTAAATATATTGCAAACCTTATATTTTCAAGAGCCGTGATAAATTGTTTCATTAAAAAGTTCTAAATAACTTAAATTAATCTTAAGTAGCGTCTGTCAGAAGGCTGCTTAATATCATATTTCGATGCATCGAAATTTTGGTTTCTTTCCTTTCTTGCAACTTTACTCTAAATTTTGACTTTTAGCGCTTTTCTGTATATCTCTAAAACGGCTCAACAGAATTCTTTTTAAACCTTTTCACATAATCTTCATGATGTATACAATAATGTCTGAAACTTTCATCAAGATTGATTCACTGCGACACCGTGAAATTTCAAGACGAATCAGCCTACGAACCGACCAAAAGTCCGCGTTACAACATTCACTGTTTGACATTATGCTAATGTTTCCAAATAAATGCCCACCACACATACCTCCATGGCTAGTACATTTCAATGTGAGCATTGACAATGTTTTACATTCAAAATATGCGTTTAAAGTCATACTAAAATGTACTAGCCTTGCAGGTATGTATGGTGGGCATTAATTTGGAAAAATTAGCATAACGTCAAAACAGTGAAAGTTGTAACGTGGAATTTTTGGTCGGTTCGTAGGCTAGATTCGTCTTGAAATTTCAAGATGTTGCAGTGGATCAATCTCAATAAAAGTTTCAGACGTTAATATATACATCATGGCAAGAGCCACAATGGGACTATTATGGCTCTTGATCATGGAGATTGTGTGATGAGGTTTAAAAAGAATTCTGTCGCGCCGTTTTAGAGATATACAGAAAAGCGCTGAAAGTCAAGTTACGTTTTATAAGAATTTAAACATACAGAATTTTTTACTTCTCACGGAGGTCATTTGCTAAACACCACAAGTTCCTGGTGTTGGATTGTCAGTAGCAGGAGGTCTAGAACGCGCGAGATTCGGGTTTAATCCATTTTAAAGTTTTTTGTTCATTGTTGTCATAGTGATATCGATTTTACTAAAAACCGATTTGCCAAACTTCAATTCATAGTCAATCACTGGTGAAAATTTTGTGGCGATCGGACAAGGATGAAATCCCTTTTAAGGCGATTGAAAAAGATCGGTATGGTTTCCGAGAAACTGTTTCGAAACACCTTAATTTCAAGCCGATTTCATTCTAGTAGAATTTTTTAAGGCAAAGAAATTGGCTCAATATCTAAGCATTAGCGTGTAAATTAGGGCTACAACCTCTTTATCCAGTTTTAACCAAAGCACTCAGTGCCAGTAAGGGACTTTTAAATTACCTTTTAATTAGTGCACCTTTATATTTCCTTTATTACATGTTCGATTGTTATTAATTCAGTAACTGCAGATTCTTAATTCTTATTATTTTCTTTACGGGTGTACATCTAACTTTTTAACCTTAAGGACTTAATATTGATCAGCATCAAGTCTCTCCTCGTAAACTCACTGCTTCATAGATTGGTGACAAGGATTAAGGACATAACCACACAAGATAAATCTAACTAATACCTCAACAACTTCAGGGCGACTTTCATTTCTAAAATTGATAAGGGTTAAGTAATGACTATACTGATTAGGGTTAAACCCTGAGAACAGTAATTAGGGTAGGCACTAGACTTGCCCACAAGTCGAGCTCAAAATTCTTCTCGAGGGCAAGGCGCGAGCTAGAAATTTTTTATGTTTCCGGTGGCAAAGGAGCTGAGGCCTACTACCGGAACCGGAAACGAGAAGCGAAGGTCTAGGTAAGCACGGACTCAAATCGGTTAATATTTACTGTTATGATTGTTGCTATATAGGTGCAAATCAAACCTCCCACTGGCAGCATATTCGCAGTGGCGGAGTGGTACAGATCGTGGACTGCAGACCCAACGCTCCGGGATCAATTCCCAGGAACTTCAACACACAAGCAAATTTCAAGTAAGCGAAAGTGAGAGGAAACGGGGTAGTGTGGAGCATTTTCAGTAAGTATTTCCCTCATCACTGTAGTCAGTGTTCACTCTCAAATAGGACATCAGTTCGTGTAGGTATCATAAGGTATCGAGTAAGGAAGTATTTACATTCATCAATACAGCTTTACTTCTAACGTTCAAAGCGCAGGAACGTTGCAAGAGGAAGATTATATTGCTAACAAAAACTCCAACTTTTTTATTTTCATATCTCATTTAAAACAGAATTTTTAATATAATTCCTCGACATATAAACCCTACCGATTTAATAGGTAATTTCATCTTTATGACAATTCAAGTAACAATTTTAAAAAATCTATGTAAAGAATGTCAAGTATAAGCAACAAGTACAAATCTTCAGCTTGCCAACAGGGTTTGACGATACAATAAAATATAATCAACTGTTTCTACTGGGAGATGAAAATCATTGCTTGCGGTATATCTTCTTTTGCATGTTTTGTTTGATTATAAGTGTTCCCTTGGGTTCACAATCAAACGTTGAATATTAGTACCTCGAATAAAGCTTCACGCAAAAAAATACTCGCGCATACGCAACTAGACACTCCTACATAAACTTTAAAATAAACTCTATTTTTTTATTTCCTTTATGATTATTAACCCTTTCTTCGCAAGTGAACCAACTTAAAATTCCAAAATTTCTTACCCCGAGATTCCAGTGAATTTATTGAGAGGGCGAACGGCTTATTTAGAAATTCTTTTCCCACGTTAAGTTTTACAAATTTCGGTTGAAAACAAAGTTCATTCGTTTGTTAGAAGCGATGAAATAGGAAATTTTAAAGACCTTTCCATGAATAACGAGTCATTTTTTTCACACTTTTCATACAATGTTTGTTAAAACTGCCCCACTTTCTGCCTGAAGGCCGATCATAGAAAAAAATGAACAGCTAACGAAAATAAATAAACTATCCATGTACACGTAACTTTAAGTAAGAACCAACAAACAACCATATCACAGTAAGTGAAAAAAAATCCCCTTTTGGCTCGTCCTGATTTCTCCTCAGTGAACAGATTCGCGCCGAAAGTTTAAAGCTTCATCACTGTAGTGAACAGTCATTCTTCTTAGGTATAAGGCTCGGCTCCGAGGCACGCGCTTTACTGTAACTTCAATGAATCTTTCCAAGTCCAAGCTTATCAAACATGTCATCACTTGTACTCGGAGGGAAAAATGGTTACCTCTTTTTATTACATCCATTTTGAAATCACTGGTGATCCCTGCAATCTGATTGGCTCTCAGCAGTGTGATTTATTCATGAATCACAATATTTATTGCTCTAAATCATATCTGTTCTGAATCGCGTCATTCACGTTCTAAATCGCATCATTTTCGCTCTATATCGCATCATTTCTGTTTCAAATACAAAATGAGATGTAAAAGTCTTTCTGTTTTCCCTTTTCAACAAACCGGCTACTTGATCAATAAAATATTGGTACTGACTGAATTCTGCTGTTTCAAAATGGCTGTAATATAGTGATAACTGAACTTCCTGTTGTGCAATTTTGGTCAGAAATCCCCAGAAATCATACCTGTGATTCCAAATGGAACTCGCGCGATTTTAAAATCACGCGTATGATTTGAGACTAAATTGCACTCCACTAAGTTCACTGATTGCCTTTATAAATCCTGACTGATATAGACAGAAGACGTCCAAAAAGACATTTCTTTCATACAATCAAGTATAATAATCCTCCATTTAAATTTGTAAGTGAAGTGAAACAGATCTACATGTTACGGTATCTCCAGTTATCAATACTGACAAGGACTGGAGATAAACTGAAAGTAAAATTATCAGCGACGCGAGAAATGATCCTTGTGAAAATATCCCCGTCCACTGTTCCAGAACTTCAGATAGGTTTCCGGCCTTAAAAGAATATCCGAAAACTCCAATCCAAAAAACATACGATAACACCGTCCAACGTTCAAAATCCAATTGACCTCTTATCGGGAAAGACGCTTCATTGAAACGAATGCACGAAGGGGCGTAAACTGTCCGCACGCAAGAGCTCGATGATCATAGTCATGCCACGCTCCAAACAACAGGATAGATCTTAGTTTTCACTTACTCAAGTACGCCTTGAAATGTCCTTTTTCCCAGCGAGGGTGAGACAAGCGAGGTTGGGGCATCACCAAAATCCATATCCCATATCAGACCCAAAGTTATCACGATCTCTTCGACCGCCGCGTCCTCCTCTTCCTCCTCCTCCCCCACCTCGCCTGTCACCCCCACCCTCGGGACATTCCCGAGCAAAATGGCCGCTGCCACCACAGTTATAACAACCGCCGCCACCGCCGCCTGCAAAACGAAGAGCAATGACAAGAGTGAAAAGGATGAAAATTACGCTGATTCATGTCATGCATCAGGGTTTGAATCAATGAGCTAACATGTTGGGCGCTCTAGACACTACGCCACGGAGAGACTCAAGGCGAGCTAAGCTAATTGGTGAAACTGTACTAGGTTATACCTGCCAGGTATACTATAAGTGCTAGAGTCGGCAATGTCGAAAGAATCTTTTGTGATGATAACGGGTGCTAAAAGCTCAGTGAATATGTAAACGTCGTTTTGAGAAGAGCACGGGAGAGAAAAATACCCCGACGGCGAGAATTGGAGCACAAGAACTCCAAAGAAGAAATAATGACGAAAGTTTAAGGGTTTGGATCAAGAAACAAATTACCTTGTCCACTGAAGTACAAGACAAAACGAAGAACGTTCCACGATAACTCGAGAAGACAGCTGAAACACAGCTCCTTGTCTCGGGAAGAAATAATGACGAAAGTTTAAGGGTTTGGATCAAGAAACAAATTACCTTGTCCACTGAAGTACAAGACAAAACGAAGAACGTTCCACGATAACTCGAGAAGACAGCTGAAACACAGCTCCTTGTCTCGGGAATCAGAATGGAAGAGACCACACTAACCACCCTTAAGGCCACTGATCTCAAGCCAAGTGCCCCCTAGCACCTCATGTTTACCACAACTACTCTCCAAAGTATTACTTTTAAAGTTCTCGAACTTTCACAACGATGTAAACAGAAGGGAAAGAAACAGTTTTCCGCTGCTATGAACCAAACTTGAACCTTAATAGTACTCCAATAAAAATTATCAAAATGTGTCTCGACATCAGTCGGATTTAAAATGTCTTTAGGTTTAAATGTTAACAAAGAGAAGCGCGTCATCCTCTCCGTGTTAGGTTACCTTGCTAGTCTCTCTACCCTCCCTCCCCCTGACGTATAAAGTAAGAGAGACCACTGGGGAGGAGTAGGACACATGCACTCAACAAAACAAATACATCCATACCTCCTCCTCTACCTCCCCTCCCTCCTCCTTCATTATTGTAGCCGTTTCTCTCACGGAACTCTTCGTAGCGCTGCGCCATGTCTGCTAATTCATCAGGTACTACCTTTAAACCAACAGCGATGAACGGCGTTAATGAACGACAGTAAGGGGTATTTTTTTTTCTACTACCTTGTTTTAGCTGCTTAAGGAGGAAACTGTAATATTCTTTCATAATCTGCCTTAACGTGGTTTGATATTCTTTGGGGTTTCATGAGAAGTAAAATCAACCACAAAAGGTTCCTGTCTGGTACATTTTCTCAGGCAAAACTAGTAATTAGAGTTGGAGTCTTGTGCCTACATGTAACTTCTTTGAATTTGTGTTTGCTCAACAGTAAAATAAAATTGGTACTAGCGGATGTTCTGTCCGTTGTATTTATTTGTAAGTACTCAAAACGACGTCACGTATATACAGTAAAAAATATTTAAATTTCCCTTCCAACCTGCTATGCGGAGTTAAAATTGAGAAGGCTTTTGTCAGAAGGAAGTGGCCACAGTAAACACGTAAGTAGCAAAGGAGTTTATTTTAAAGTACGCCATCACTTTGCCCATCAAAAGTGTTACGTTTTGAAAATAATCGAACTTACATTAAGGGTCTGTTTACATGAAGGTGGGGGACCCCACGTAGGTGAGGTAACATGTGGCGGCTCACCCCACCTAACATGTAAACGTGACCACATTAAAATGAGAGGTTTTATGGACAGGCGGGTTACCCCACCTAATCGGGTTACCTTTACCTAGCCGGGGTCCCCCACCTCCATGTAAACAGGCCCCAAGTGTACAAAATATGGCCCCTGGTTGTTCAAACAATGGATAGCGCTATCCACCGGATACATCACTATCCAGTGGATAAGTATTATGGAAAGCAAACGCGTTATCCGCTGGATAGAGATATATCAGTGGCCTAGTGTTTATCTATGCCTTGAAAATATGTCCGTTACCTGATTAGCTTCAACCATAATGTTGATCAGTTTATGAGCCTGTCTCCAGTCATCTCTCGTCACAAACGTAAGCGATGTTCCCTTTTTACTGCAAGATAACAGACCATCTAAAGTAAGTTTACAGTCCATACAAGTCTGTGCAGGATATAAATGAAGAACTTCAGGCGCGAATGTAGGATAAATACTGACCGATTTCTTAAACGAGGTTCGAGGGCGCAAGCTTCTAGACAGGTCCGGGGCGATGCACCCCAGTGAAATTTTGTTGATTTCAACTCCCCAAAGTCACCTTTCCTAGGTTTCCGGGTCATTCAGACAGGATATTGGCCATGGAAAATGGACTAATTTCTGAAAAATCTGACCGATTTTCGTAAAACGGTGGAAACCGGTGTGGATCCGAGCCTGAACTTACCCGGCCCTTCCTGTGCGGCCAATTCGATGTACGTAGTCTTCTATACTGCGAGGAAAGTCAAAGTTAAGAACACACCTAGAGAGAAATAACAAGTAAATATATTAGTGGGTGTACTGCCGAATAGCTAATCCTTATAAGTTTCATAACTTGGAAGAAGGAGAATCCGGCTAACACCAGAAAGCTAAGAAAAAATCCGGGCTCTGGGTGAGAATCGAACTCACGACCCGCCGAGTACTAAATTGGATGCTCTAACCACTGAGCTACTGAAGGCTACAGTAGTTTTTATGGAGAATTACATGTATCATAATCTTCGCTAAAGAGCCCCATCCCCCTTACAACGTAGTTGAAATAAATAAGCACCTCGGAGGCTTAATAATGGATTTATTATATACATAATGAGAAATAATCACCAAAAAGGTATGTCGTAAATTTTCTTACGGTATACACTGTATGACTTTCAAAGTCAGCCAATACTGCATACTAAACAAGCTAATTCCAATAGTTAGCTGTTCTTAGGAGAAAATACCATCACCAAAAGGACCTTAATACTGGAGAGAAAGATAACTCACGTGACACCACGAATGTCCAATCCCCTTGAAGCTACGTCTGTTGCTATGAGGATTTTGGCCTTGCCGGTTTTGAAATCGTCTAGAGCTTGCTCACGATCATACTGCTCTCTGAAGAAACAATTAAAGACAGTGACAACGCATTTGAAAAAAACCGAGATAAATTTCCACTTGGCCAGAGTAGCGAGCAACAAATAAGTGGATAACTTGGAGGTCAATGATAGGAATGTGATGTCGAATTTTGAGCCTGGTGAATACCTGAAAGAGATGTTTTTTTTTTCAGTCAGTGACCCAGTCGGCTGGGAAGAAAAATATGGAGTACTCCCAGCAGGAGGTCCATATTTCCATGAATAACAAGCACTTCTGCAATGTCAGATATAGACTAACGGAGCTTACCTTTAGTTAGCCTGTACACACACACGTTATATTCTTCATTTCGTTATTCGGTCTTTAAGAAAACCCGAAAACATCGGGAGTCTACCCCCTTGCGCTAGCGGTCAATAAATCCCCCGGGGTTTTTATTTGAACAGAAAATTCGAGGGTCTGTGAACAGGCTAACCATTAGTCGCGACAGTAGATAATAATAAGTGATGCAAAAAACGCGCGGGGGCTGGGGAAAGAGAGAGGGCGGTGGAGGGCGGAAAGAATCCTATTTTTCCCGCCACCATCCCCTTCTCTAGATCGCGCGCGTCTTATTTTTCCTTGGTTAGGTTTACTTTCACCAAGTTCCTAATATCTGAAACCCTCGGTTACTTAGGCATGGGTCGCACTTGGGGAAATTTTTTATCTTTGCCGGCTAAAAAACCACGAAAATTCGAAACGGCACCCGGAAAAGAAAACTTTTAATCAAATCGAGGAGGGTCGTACCATTTACATGGGAAAACCGGAAATTCCGGTTGGAAAGTCACATGTTTCGTACCATTCCATTTGGGAGGCTTCAGAAAAAATATGGGCTGTGATTTGCGGCGATGCAATTTTTCTACTCTTTTCAGCCTGTTCAGCTGATTTGCACATTCCCACACATGCACATTCCCAGTCTATTCTAATAAGACTAAGCCTTAAACTGTTTGCTTCACCAACTTCTCTACATTTTTCAGTTCACTAGGCTTTAACTGATACTTAATTATTGCATAAAACGATGAGTACTTCATGTAAATTAAGTTTAAATTCTCTGAGCTATGATTAATATTCTGTCTTGAAGAACCAAAAAGCATCAAAAAATTCTTTCCAGGCCACTACATTCAAAGTTGAAGAAAATTCAAGGACTTGCATAGAAATTTACGGACTTTTCGAGGAAAAATGGAATTGAAGGACTTTTTAAGGCCTTCCCCTAAAATTCAAGGACTTTTCAAGACTGTACGAACCCTGGAAGGGGTGGTTTATGCAAATGGCACATGTAAGCACCCTTGGAGAACTGGCCGCTAAGACCACACCATTCATTATGAGTGTTACAACTAATCACAACTGTCCAACCTGATTTGCCCAGTTCTAAAAACAATGCACGGAAAGGATGGGGTTTTAGTGAAAACCTTTGAAAAAAAAAATGGTTTACTTTGAAGATGAACGGCCTGGCTGCATTGATCTTTTAACAAATTCTCTCAACTAATTCTTTAAAGAAATGTATGAAGCTCAGTGTGGAGAATTCGTATTTGGATATTAAGGCTTAGAGGGTTATGGTAACCTCGCACTAACCTGTCTCCATGTATGCATTGCACACCTCGAATTCCAGCCAACATGAAGTCACTTGCAATGTCATCAGCTCTACGAAAGATAAGAGACGGACCATTAGAAAACTTATGGGGAGGGCGGGGGGCAAGTACAAAAATATTTGTGCAAGAGAAAATTAAATGGAAAAAAATTCTTGCACGCCAAGTAACCCGAAAAAATATTCATGCACTGGCCTAAAAGAATTCTTACAAGGAAAATGCTAACGAAAAAATTCATGCGGCGCGAAAATTCCCTGACCCCAGCCCCGCCCCCCCCTACCCCCACTCTTTCCCATAACTTTACTAATGTCAAATGCAATGAGAGTCTGCATAGTTACCATGTTAACAAAATTGAAGAAACAAAACAACGAAAGGCTGTTTCAGTAACTGTCAAAAACTACATTGTCTTAACAATAATAATTTTCTTACTTGACTTTCTTGCCAACGAAAATTAGGACTTTGTCTTGTTCACTCATGGAAGCAATAAAATCAAGAGTCTGAGGAAGGAAAATATTATACGAACTCCTTTATAACATGCAACAGTTAACAGGGTTTTAAGAAAGGCATGTGGTCATGGTCATGTAGACAAACAGAAGTTCAGCAAAGCATAAAATCTCTTGGAATCTTACAAAAGAAAACTGCCACCCACATGGTTTGAAGACTAGAGTAGAGAAGAGTAGAGTACCTGTTTGTTAGGCATGAGGTCATAAGTTCAACCAGGGGGCCTGTTTATCACCGGGTAACTTTTTGGGCCCGAAATCAAACATTCAAATCAACTGAAATCCAAAGAATAAGAGCGTGGACCCTAGCTAACAAACCAGGCCATAATTTTTATCATGTTATCTGCAAAATTATTGAGATCTCTATCTTGAATGTCAACAGCAACACATTTCCAGGCCCAGTAATTATCGGGAATTTCAAGAAGTGGGCCCCAATGCCTTTAAAAAAAAATGGCAAGATCCTGCTGGCTGTGTTTTACAGGTCAAAATTAAAATAAGGTTAAAATTTTTTACCAAGGTTGATTCTCAATTTTCTTTGTCTCTTTGCCCTAACTATTCATGAATCAGTGCTATCAGACAAAGAAAATTGAAAATCAAACTAGGTTAAAAAATTTTGACCTACACCATAAAGACCAGTTATGTTAAGGCATGGGCCTTGTCTTTTTCTCCTTGCAACAGTGATGAACACACTTACCCTTTCTTTTTTGTCAGCGGGATCCAATACTTCCACATGCTGAGTGACATTGTGACAAGCCTGTCGAGATAAACTTTGCATTATCTTGATCTAGGTACTTACAAAGCAAAGGCTACACTGTACAATGGAATCAACAAACTGTACAAAACAATCCAATTTGTAGTATGGCCGAAGCTTTCCCGCAACTGCACATGGTCACATTGGTTGATATGAGTTCACAACATCTAACAATAAAACAGTATAATTACTGTTTTCTGCCAAACGTTTCTAACACTGTAGCAGGCAGCATTGCAAAATCTATGATGTCAGAGGGTACAATGTAACAGTAGAAGTTATTGCCCACAAATGTTGACCACTCACTGTGATATATTTGAACACATAAAAGCTTTTTATGGCTTTATCACTCAATGATTGGTTCCTGGAGAAACTAGACTGTAGCACACGGTTGCCACCAAGCACTGGGGGGGCTAGGGATTTCCCCTCGCTATTGTCTTAAAACAAAATCAAAAAAATACTTCCAAGCTTTTCAATTTCCTGCCTACCAATTGCATTTACCTGGCAGCTCGAAATCTTAGTGATAGCCCTGGTAGTAAATAATTATTTTTGTTTCCCTTGAATCTCAATGTTTCCTGAGACAGATTCTTGAAAGACAAAATACCGTTTCCCTCAGGGCAAGTCAAAACACTACATATTTTATGTGTACTTACATTTAAGTCCAGAGACCCTACAAATACTCTGACTGGGTTTTTTAAGTACTGATCAGCCATTCTTTGAACTCCTTTAGGCCATGTTGCACTGTAACCAAAATAAAACAAAGTAATATGGCATTTGTAATAGAAGTCTGAATAATACAACCTTTGACAGCACTCATGAACCACAATAGCAGCAGTTTGTCTTTGTCTGGAGTTATTTGCATTTCTGTCACTCTGTCTCTAACTAAGGCTACAACCCACATACACTGTATTTGCTTTAAAAATGAAGCCCTTGAAAAACATATACTTTTTACCTACCTGGTCATTATTGTCTGCCTGTCAGGTCTGATATCAAGAAGGATTTTCTTGATTTCTGGCTCGAATCCCATATCAAGCATCCTATCTGCCTCATCAAGAACCTATGGATGCACAGGTCAGTAAATTAACAAAAGACTATATGGAGAGAGAAATATGATTTAAATAAAAGCCTAAAAAGAACGGCTGAGCCTGATTCTTACCAAATATGTCACACTTCTGACGTCCATAATTTCATTCATGAGCAGATCATTTAATCTTCCAGGAGTAGCTGACAAAAGAAGAGACAAAATTAACGAAATATTATTAATTATTTACTGCGGCAGGATTAGTGCAGTTCGGTGAGCGCTTGACTATAGAGTGGGAGGTAATAGGTTCCATTCACGGGGCCGGACCAGTGCTTGGGGTCTTGGGGGCTCTGCAAACCTATAGAGCTTTGCATAGCTTGGATGACTATGTAAAATGACAATCCCATCTCCAGTGGGGGACGTGAAAATAGTGTCTGCAATAAGCACTTTGGTGCTACATACAGGCTGAACATTGACACTCAAATAAAGTGTATTTATTACTGTTATAATTATTTTTCAATCTCATCCCCAGGGTTCTTTCCTACTGGTCCCCTACTGAATGAGGTTGACAATAATAAATTAATTGTTTGAGCATTTGGGCAAACCGTAAGCGTTAGAGCATTAGAAAAGCCGTTATTAACTATCTGTTAACTGTCCGTAAGTTTTCTAACAGATAACGGATTATCGTTAGTGTGTGTTTTCCTAAAAAAGGCCACATATGGAAAACATGTAGACACTGAATAGAGAACCAAAAGAACTTTCTTGCTGTTGAATTCCCTGCCGACTAATAACATTAACCCAGCAAACTGAATTTTTAGTGACAGCCCAGCAAGGAAACAATTTTGCTGTTTACTCAACACAAAGCAGGGCATACATGTACAAAAATTATTGATTATTATCATAAGCTATACCTTTGAAGGCAGTGCAGTGGCACTGAATCACAAATTAACTGTCATAGGATCATATAAAAATTATACTTAGAGTACTGTCCAGAGTGTGGGCTCTTGTTATTCCTTTCTCATGGTTTTTGTTGATGTACACCTGAATGCAGATAAGTTTTGCCCTTTAGTTTCCTCTAGGGCCCCTATTTTTTAGAAGGGACCCTGGGGGTACCCAAGTAAAGATCCTGGGAAGAACACTGTATTTTTACCGCAGATATTAGTCGTCAACACACATGTAAGTACCTATGACAATTTCCACTCCTTTCTGTACCACCTGTATTTGGTTCTTGCGGCTTGCACCCCCATACACACAAACGCTAAAACAATGAAGGAAAAAAGGACATTAAAAACAGTAAACTTCACATGCAATAGACGTGGTCATAGAATTTTGGGCATACAAGCCCTCACTTATAATTAGTTATGAGCCAGATAGTGATAGAGTAGGGCAGAAGAGACTGACTTTCACTTAGATTGCATGAAATGACTGGGTATAATAATAATACTCAGTCATTTCATTATTATTTCTATATTTCACAGTTTTCCAGCACAAGTGTACTTACCTTTTAATGCCTCGGTAATGAAACTTCTTAACTTCAGCCTCAATTTGCAAAGCCAGTTCTCGTGTCGGAGACAAGACCAAGACAGTTGGACCACCCCTTTTGTCACGAGGTCTATAGTTCAAGAAAAAGATAAGTTCACGTCTTGTGCCAAGTGGTTTATCAGGCCAGAGCTTAACCTGGCTTCCAAAGAATGAAGTGACTAGGAATATTTCTATTCCCCTTGGAGGGGATGTCAGTCCATCACAGCCCAGAGCATTAAATTTTTTCAGTACCCCTTTAAACACCCCAGTGGACCGACGCACAGTGAGTGTAATGCCTTGGAAATGGAACTTCTCTTCTTCAGACTCAATTAACTGCAAAGCCAGTTCTTGTGTTGGAGATATGACAATGTAACTGGATCAATCTTTTTAAACTAGGTGTAAAGTTAAGGTAGTACCATCAATAATGAAGGGGTGTGTGGAGTCAGAACTTTAAGTTCCCCAGTATGTGGTATTAGACCAAGGGTCACTTTTAGGTGGGAAATTGGAAGGAAAATTTGTCAGTCTATCAGAAATCACTTATGGTAAATTGCACTAAAAATAATATGCTGATAAATACACTGTGGTAGATGTTTAGTGTCAAAAATTAATAATAATAATTTTTTGTAATTTAACAATTTTTATTAATTTTTCACACTTAAATAATGAATACAAAAAACCGCAAAATACTTAAAACCATTACAGAACTACAAAACGCAAAAACATCTTAACAAATTGTGATATTCATTGATTACAGGCACTTAAAATACAAGTCAAAATATTATTAATTTTCTGCACTGGTCAGACTGTTTTGAGTCACTGACGTCAAACTCAGGCTTGTACAGCCATTTACATGTAAGTTACAAAGGAGCATATTAGTATATTTACGTTTCTTGTCCATCGATGTGCAGGAAAGCAGGAAGGAGAAAAGCTAACGTTTTTCCTGTACCTGTCTGATAAAAAATGGAACAAAAGTTGTACAACAGCTCCTTTTTAAAGAAAAGAAAAACTTTACCAACAACTTGTCAAACAGTACAGTTTATTACATACTTATATCAAAAATACAACAGAAAGAAAAGGAAAAAAATAAGTTAAGTGGGTAAATGATTACATGGGGTATCACTAAAGCTTAAAACTGAACTTATTAAAAAATATTATCATTGAAGGAACAGAGAACACAGTGGAGGCATTTCTCTTACTGTCTTATTTATGGTCTGAATTCTGTTCAGTATCAGAAATATTGCTTTTATTTACAAAATCTAGGACATCAACATTGCTGATCCTAGCAGTATGCAGGACACATGTCAAATATCAGCCTAGTATATGGCCTCGCTCTCCATGAATTCTCTGTAGCTCAAGTGGATGGAGTGCCCGCCTGGTGTTTGGGAGGTCATAGGTTCGAATCCTGTACGGGACTCAAATTTTTTCTTTGTCCCATGCTCATGACATGCCGATTATTTCGTTTTCACATAGGAAGAGCTTGTTCAACAGTTACCATGGACCCCTTGCCTGTGGGGGGGAGGAAGGATCCATTCTTCAGAGCCACCTACTTTTTCTGAGTTTCCCACAACTCAAAATCTTTTGGACAACCCTGATGCTGCTGACTCTTTGTAAAACTGGCTTACAAACACAGTGGTGTATCATTTTACGGTGGAATCTCATTAATACAGTCTCCAATGGGCCCAAAAAATTTGGCTGTATTAACGGGGTGGTCTTATTAACAAGGGTCTTTTTACAAGATAATGTAAGGCGGTTTTTGCCATGTGGCCAAAAAAAAGTGGCCGTAATAACGAGGTGACCGTATTACCGAGGTGGCTGTAAGGCGGGGTTTGACCGTACTATTTCTCACCTGTGCAATCCCAATCAGATCCATTCCAGACATAACTATGGGCCAGGACTGGCACTGGAAGTACATGAAAAATACCACAGAACCCCTAAGTTTGAAACCAAACTTAAAATCTCCATGCTACTGTAGCAAACAAAATATTGAGCTTTCAACTCAAGCTTGAGCCTTTATTGGAGAGAAAAAAGATGGCACTGAATCTACTTGATGTTATGGATTTTTTTATTTTATTTTGGGAACTTGTGACAACAGAAGATAAATATAATGGCATACACATGGACAGTAAATTTGTAATCATTACAAAAAATTGGCCACAAAGTAATTTACAAATGTAGTATTAGTAGTATTAGTGGAAGAAACTTAGCCCCCAAGGACATTCCTCACGTTTTGCCACCAATATCTACGTCATAAGTAAAAAATGAAGCTTTGCCTAGCCCATGCCACCCCCACTTGACTAGGTTGTGCCTTAGTTCAAACTACAACTGTATTTTTAGAAAACAACAAATGACCCAAGAGAGGTGCAGATTGCTTTGTTTGCCAAAATATACCCAATTTGACGATAGCATCTCAAAATTAAACATTTGTCGGTTATTGAAGCCCCAGGTTAGTACATCTCTTCAGATACAGTTCAAGTAAGTGGTGCGCTGATCATCGATAATTATTACAATTTTATTGATCATTGATTTAAAACTTTAAGCAAAGTGATAATTGAGTATTGAAGATGTGTTAAATTGGACATCACAAGCTATATTCGACAAATAAAATTACTTAAACTTGTAAATTGCTGTCATTTTATGAGCTCATGATGCAGTTATAATCTATTGACGTCCCTTTTCTGAAACATTTCATATGATTTTTGTCCTGATATAAAACACCACACAAAATAAGTGTCCTTTATTAAAGTGGTTCACAAAAGAACAATATATTGTTTTTAAATAAAATCTTCATTTAATCATAGTTATTAGAGGAGACTGGTTATGAAAAGCGGCAAACATCAATGATAAAAACAACAGTGCTGCATTTTATGTGGAAGCACCCTGAAAGTGCACAATCCTTTGTTTTCTGTTGGCAAATTGTTACGGAATAAATTAATGCAACGTTTTTATTGGTCAATACAATCAAAATGATAGGAATTCTTTTGAACGTTGTGCACTTTCAGGTCCACAAAAACATATAACAAAGGAGTCTGACGGGTTTCATAACCATTCCACTCAATTAACTATGATTTACTGGAATTGTTATACAGAGATTTTTCTGATTATAATCAATGATCAATTGTTTTGGTTAACCTGATTATTTCAGATGATCAAATATGAAATCTCAGCCAGCCCCAAACACTATAGATCTGTAGTTCAAGTACACTGGCTTGAGATGGGAATTTGTGAGGCAATTCACATCAGGTTTAATCAACAAAATGATTACGTACTTTTTTTTTTAGCTGCTTTTTTCATACAATTGAAGTACAATGTGATTCCTACACTGGTAGAGTGGAACCTTAACACCATGAACCCCTATTAAATTATTTCAAACAACTCTGTATCATGAAAGTCATTTTTTGCTGCAGTTATAGTTTGTTAAAGGCAAGGAACATTTTGCTGTATGATTTTTCCAGCTTGTTGGCACATTAAGGGTTCCTTTGTAACACTCAACAAGTTTCAAATACAAAAGAAAGTAAAAAAGCAGGCGTGTACTAGTTTCTATGTGTTTCATACTGTACCTGAATGGGTGATGGTCGTTCAAATCCTTGTTTACTGATCTCATCCATTACCTCAGCTGCAAATGCCCCAGCAGAAAATTAAATGCTTAGCAAGCTCAAATTTATTAGAACAGTTTTGGGAGAAAAAAACATTAAGGCTAGTTTTCACAAGATTGCTAGAATTACTGAAAACAATTAAGTGGTTGTTGCAATGACAACAACTCTTACACAATCAAAGCAACAACAACAATCACTGAGATAGACTTGCATTTTACCTCAACGCTGGTTTACTTACGATAATCAGCAAATGCTTCACCGAATGTCCTAATGGGGTTTGGAATTTGGCGGTCTTGTACAGATTCTCCATAGTTTTCAACAGTGATTTTATTGTTGTCAAACCTTTAAAAAAGATTAAAATTATTTTAATAAAATTATAAACAAATAATTTCCTCTGGGTATGCAATTCATGGTGGACTGTCACAAAAAAGGTAAAGGTAACGGCATATACAAGCCAAAGGCCCAAACAGCCAGAGCTTATCCCAGTTTCCTTAGCATGAAGAATGCCTAGGAGTATTGCTACTCCCCCCTGGATGGGATGTTAGTCCCGCAGGATTACCCCCAGCAGTATGTTGCCCATACCAATTTATACATGTACACCTGGGTAAAGTGAGACAAAGTGGAGTAAAGTTCCTTGTCTATAGAAACAATGCAAAGGGCATGGCTAGAAAACCTGGACCTCTAGATCTGGAGTTTCACCTGTGAAACTACTCAGCCACACACGCCTCATGGTGGACTTTAGTCTGGGATAAATATACCTGCTGGTAACATTGTTTCTTCATTAAAAAAGGTCTATATTGTATAATGTTATGGAAGCCACTTTTGCTTGGAAACTTTTTAAATTGATAACTTGATTGGCCACTGATTTCAAAAAGAACACCAAGACAAAAAGAGCAAAAGCAAACTTCAGACATTGCTCAAAGGCCTCCAGTGATTTTGTTACCTCTGCGTCCTGCATCCCTGACACATAAAAATCCCCAATGATGCAAAATAATTCATGGCATCCGTCCCATAGGATACAAAGATCAATCGATTGATCGATCAATCAATTAATGTGTTTTTGCAGAAATATCCCGTTCGTGTAATTTCTGTGAGAGTCATTATCCTAATGGCTGTTGTTTAACGATGCATATTTCTTTTAGCCTTTATTGTGTTGTAAAATAGAACGACTGTAGCTACCACGATTAGCCACACCTTTAACCCGCTTATTTTTAAATGCAAGCTAGGACTTCTCTTGTTGCAATATACTTCCATACATGTACATGTAGCTGCTCGTCACATGAGTAAAAATGTTTTATACAAAATCTTCCCTTCTATTTTACCTAATTCATTGGTACATGAATGGTATTTAAACACTTTTAAGAGGAAACAATGCTTTGGTAAATCTTTCATCACCCAGGTTTGACTTTTTAAAGTTCATAAAATGTACACAAATCAATCCATGAAGGCACAATATTATTTTATTCTTGAAAATACCTGAATTTTTCTACTTCCTCTTTCTCCATGTTTGCCACAGATGGATGCTCATTATAGAAGATTTTCTTGATAGCTGGGAGATCTGGATGACATCCAGAAACAGTGAAGTGTGTAAACAGCCACAGTCAAACTTAGACTTAAATTACAATGCATTATCAAAAAATAATACTGATTTAATTCTATGCAGTAATTTCCAAGCAGTTTGAAATCCTAGGGCTTGGAAATGGAATCCTGGACATTACGATCAAACATAATTTATACCATGAACAGGCTTTGTTTTCTTTGCTAATGTAAGTTGTGAGCTTTGATAATGAGAGAATTGATAAAAGTACAAGAGTTACAGGTCAAAATTATATTCAGGTTAAAATAAACCAAGGTTGATGCTCAATTTCGTTTCTTTCCTGGCCCTAATTCACGAATAACTAGGGCTGGGAGACAAACGAAATAGAGAATCNTTGTTGCAATATACTTCCATACATGTACATGTAGCTGCTCGTCACATGAGTAAAAATGTTTTATACAAAATCTTCCCTTCTATTTTACCTAATTCATTGGTACATGAATGGTATTTAAACACTTTTAAGAGGAAACAATGCTTTGGTAAATCTTTCATCACCCAGGTTTGACTTTTTAAAGTTCATAAAATGTACACAAATCAATCCATGAAGGCACAATATTATTTTATTCTTGAAAATACCTGAATTTTTCTACTTCCTCTTTCTCCATGTTTGCCACAGATGGATGCTCATTATAGAAGATTTTCTTGATAGCTGGGAGATCTGGATGACATCCAGAAACAGTGAAGTGTGTAAACAGCCACAGTCAAACTTAGACTTAAATTACAATGCATTATCAAAAAATAATACTGATTTAATTCTATGCAGTAATTTCCAAGCAGTTTGAAATCCTAGGGCTTGGAAATGGAATCCTGGACATTACGATCAAACATAATTTATACCATGAACAGGCTTTGTTTTCTTTGCTAATGTAAGTTGTGAGCTTTGATAATGAGAGAATTGATAAAAGTACAAGAGTTACAGGTCAAAATTATATTCAGGTTAAAATAAACCAAGGTTGATGCTCAATTTCGTTTCTTTCCTGGCCCTAATTCACGAATAACTAGGGCTGGGAGACAAACGAAATAGAGAATCAACCTAGGTTAAAAAATTTTAACCTGAATACAATTTTGACCTGTAACATGTGTAGTGGACTCAGTTTCTTACATATAAAATTTTCGGTTTTTTGCGGGACATTATAAATTCCACTTCAACAACTGGCCGTTATAAATCAAGGCAGTTGATGAGGATGAACAAGTTCATGAAAACAGCACATTTAGCTCTACCTGCCCATCTAGCAGCCTCTCTTTCAGCTCTTTCCTCTTTCAGTCGAGCCCAAGGAATGGGTTTAAAGGGAGTCGAAGACTGGGAGCTTAAAATAGAAAACAACAACAACAACATATAATAAACAATACTTAAAAAGTGCAAGTGACAAATTTGAACTAGAATGAATATGAACTACAGCATAAGGTGACTAAGTGTGGACCTTTACGATGTAATAATGTAATAATAAAAAAATCTGTATGAATGTGCTGCATAAAAACCAACCTTCCCTTTGAATTGCCATTTTCCATGGACAGACCTAAAAAACCAATTGAAAATCAAATCATGACACTTGAAATAAAAATCGGTGATTTGCACATAAAACAAACCTTCATACATGTAGATTTCAAATATCCAAGAATAAGAAGTTCAACTGTTCCAAAATTCAGAACTATATTATGCTGAAACACTAACAAGAAATAATATCAGACTGACAGAATTTTCAACCGAAGGATTTGAAGCTGAACTAAACAGCAAAAACTGACTTGTCTTCTGAGGACTGAAGAAATGGCTGCTATAGTTTGGTCATCTATCCTGACTGACCACAAAGAGAATTCCTCAATCGGCCTAGGTTATGGTCTGGGTACCACAAGGAAGATGAAAAAAAAGGCAGGCCAAGAAAAACATGGAAGAAAACCATTGTGGAAGACCTCGATAAGATGGGATCATCGTGGGCTGAAGCTTTGACCCAGGCAAAATACCAGGCCAGATAGAAGAAACATGAAGCAGAGCTGCCCCATACAACTGTGAGGAACCGTGATGGTTTGTGTAACAATATCAACATCAAATCCACTAGCCCAGGGGCTATCGGACACTACTTTCTTTGCACGCTGCTCCATACAGAGAAGTGATTCACCTAGTGTTAACTTAATGTAATAACACCGAGGTTTGAGGGATAATTTATTTATAACAAGTACCTCCCATGCTGTTTATTATAGATGACTGAGGGCTAATGATTTGTTCAATCATTTCTTTGGCTTTTTTAATTGCATCATCACTCCCAGAAATTTCAACTGGTGTTTCAGAGTATGTGGCACTGTCTTTCTTCACCTGATAAAACAAAACAATAATGTCCATCATGTATCTACATGCATAATAATTGTTGATAGTTTACAACAAAGATTCATGAGATTTAGAAGGCCGTAAACGTTCTCATGTGAATTCCATTTGAGACCAATAGATACAAGAGGCAGCTTAGTACTCCAAGCTCAACTCTTTTCAAATTTGCCTTTTGGAGACCTAAAATTATAAAACAGTCACTAGACATTAAAAATATTGGTAGCAAGAAAAAGAAAAATGCATTGTGCCATATTACATAAGAGGTTTAAATAACATTTCACGCAAATGATTATCTTAAGACCATTGACATGACAGAAGAACCCTGATAACTCAAACTCCCTGCTACCTTGAACTAAGCCCAATTCCCTTGGATTTCACCCCACTTTTCAGTCATTCTTATGTAGTTAACTCGAACTCAGATACCGGTAACTCAAATTCCCCACTAACTAAAACTAAATTTCATTTCCCTTGATCAAAAAGTCAACGAAAATTACCCCGATAACTCGATTCTGGTTCTTGTGACTCTACTCGGATGCCATTCCATTAGCTCTTCTTGTTGTATAATCAGTAAAACACTAAACCTAACACTGGTTAACACTTACAGCAATTCGATTTTAATTGGTGCAACAAACAGATCTTGTTTTCTCATAAAAAATGCCTAACCATGTTACCATTTCTGATAAAATAAGTTAAACTTGCATGGCAGTAACACTATTCACTGCTGAAAATGCTGAAGAATGAACAACTATCAATTTTTAACACTGACAATGAATTGAATTTTGCATCGATCCTGATAACTCAAACCATTGCTAACTCGAACTGTTTTTGCTTTCCCTTCAGAGTTTGAGTAACCAAGGTTCTACTGTTATTACTAAACACACCACAACTGGCCGCTTTGCCACAAAACAATAGTAGCAAAATTGGTGACTTTTACAGCAATTTTAGTCATCAAATTGTATTGTATATTGCAATGGCCACCAAAACAATAATAATAATTGCAGCTTGGAGCACTAGGGCTGTATTCACAAACAATTACAGGCATACATGTACAGCAAAAACTATTTTATTGTATTTTATTCTACCTAAAACCATAAATAATACTTGTTCATTAGGGTAGCAGTTTATTGCAGTTTCTTTTTCTTAAGTTTAATCCTGTACCCTGCTACCACCTTGAATAGCTTTTCAGGCTAACTTGCCTGGACACTATAGTCTTCATTGTTACAGGTTTGTCAAAAATAGTCAGCAGCTTCTGAAAATCACCACATACATGTACTTCATCTTTTTTGACATGCTGCAATATATTCAGGACTGTTGCTCTGATTCTTTCCAGACGAAAAGATGCAAAATCAGCCAACTAATAATTATTCAAAACTCTCTGATAACAAAAATTACTTTGAAATTGTTCTTATTAATGTTTCCTTACACACCTTGATGTAGGCTCCACTTTGTTCCTGCATTTCCCTTATTTTTTGGCCACCTTTACCTAAAACAAAAATATGGAAATATGGGAATAAAATATAAAAAAAAAATGAAATTTTGCAAATGATTACAATGAAAATATTTTATGGTAAGCAGTGGGAAAAAATATTCTTCCCTGGTGTGCACACTTAGTCACTTCCACAGTAGTCAATGGTTTTTTCTAGTTGTTTGCTCATATATGTCAAGGGTATAATGTATCAACCTTACAAGGTAGACATCTCGCAAAGATGAGCATGAGCAAATGACTAATGAAGGCTAACTACATGTAACATTCTAAGTCTGTAATCATACAGGCAAACAACTTCTCTGAGGCAGATGGTGTCCTTTTTTAATAATTTCTGTTTGACCATACAAACGATTGACTTACACAAGAATAAGATCCAAATCAACCAGGCTCTACAAAAAGAACTGCTACATTACAAGACTACATTCATCAACACACCAGTTTGGCAACACTGGGTTGAAAGGCCACTCTTGCCGCTTGCTGGGGTGACCGGGTTATTTAAGGTTCAGTCAAACCCCCACTATGATACACCCTTACGTAATTTATCCCCTTTACTAATGATAACCACCGTGATGGTGAAATACAGTTAAAAGCAAAATAAAATGATTATTTTAGTTTCTTGGTACTTTTTATCTCAGGGTTCCCCTGTTGCCCTGGGTTAACTTCTAATTGGCAACATGTTTAGAAGTAGCTGCTGAATACCCCCTACTTTCCAAGCTGTATCACTGAAAAAGCTTTAAACATTCAGTATACGTAAGGCTGTGCTTTCAGGAAAATTGAAGGGAGCCCAGTACTCTGAACCTGTGAAATCCAGGGTTCCCAGCATATAATTTTTATCAAAAGCTACAATCGGCGACAAAATGAGTTGAGACACTTTGCCCTCAAGGGGCTTTTTGACGTTTTCCTGACTTCAAAAGGGGAAAATATAGCTTTTCCTCCCCGATCCCCTCCATACAAGGTTGTGCCACTGTTTGAGCTACCTTTCGAAAACAACAAACACCCCAACTTTGAATAGCGGGGACAGGGGACGGGTGTGGATTCTTATGTTCTCTGAAGTTACCCTATTTGAGTACATTGTCTCAACAATTTTGCTGCCGATTGTCGATTGAATTTTTGTCACCCTGCAGGTCACAAGGACTAGGGAAATATGGGGTTTATGACATTTGCAGACTGCAGACTGCAGACTGCATGAGGCAGCATGACTGTAAATTGAATGAAACCAAAAATATCGTAATAAAGGTGGCGTCATCATCATCATTACCTTGTTGCGAAAAGTAAGGCCTAGAAGCGAAGTTTATATTTTTCACGCAAATTACACCGACCTCATTCCTAAAGGAGCTGTTGGCTGTTCTTTTGGTATTGAATTAGAGCAGAATAATGTCTGCCGATGTCACAAACTTGCTCATGAATCCATAGCAACAGTCTAGCAATTTAGCCTGTACCACAGACGAAACTAAACTACAAGTCTGTCTGTGAAACAGCGCCGGAATCCCTATTCTACGGGGGCCCCACCTGTGTACTAGGACTTAAGTATGAGCAATGATTTGCGTATTTAGAAATTCAAAATGCACTTCTGGTAATTCGTCGAGTCCAGATAGGATCTGTTCGTTTTCGATTATTTGGCATATCCCTAAATACTGCTAAGATGAAATACGTCATTTAAAAGGTGTTAAATGTCCTTGATCTATCCTACGAAGCGGCTCGCAATCTAAAAACTCTTTTTTACAGAAGACTACTATTTAGACAGGCATTAGTGGGCTTTGCTACTTGTCATTATCAATTCATGATAATCAAAGAAGAATAAAGAATCAACACAATTAGTGATATACCGGGTGAGATGATAAAGGGTCGGTGAAGATATAGCCAACAGCATTTTGGGAATGAGGCCAATGTAACTTTGCACAAAAATATCAACCTTGTTCCCAAGGCTACTTTCACAAGATTTTATATTTTTGAAAACGTCACCTTTATCAGGAGGATTTTTGGTGTCATTTAATTTACAATCTGCAATCTGTGGTCTGTGTCTGCAGTCTGCAGTCTGCGGTAGGCAGTCTGCAGTCTGCATTTTGCAGTCTGCGGTCTGCAGCCTACAAATGTCATACACCGGGTTTACTATATCTGGGTGGGATAAATGTGCCTTCGTTTCACAACTCTGAAATAAATGAGTAGTTACAAAGTGCTCAGGAAAACAAGGGGAGAGTTAAAATCCGAAACGCGCATTTAAAATGCGTTTGAAAAGGTCAAAACAAGGAGTACTATAAAAGCTGAAGCATGTTAATAGATTCACAATAAATCAACAACAGCAACTAACCAATTATGAAGCGAATTTCGTCTGAGGGAACCATCATCTCAGTGGAGTTTCTTTCGCGTCCTTGACCTCCACGTGAGCGTCCAAAGCCGCCTGAACTTTCTCTGTTTCCTCTGTCTCTCCAGCTCCCGCTAAAACCGTTTTCACCACCACCTCTCCCAAAGTTGTCACTTCGATTCTCACCGCCACGTGAATAGTTCGAGTCATCTCTGTTTACGCGTCCAAACCCTCCTCCTCCCCGTCCATAACCTCGAAAACTTGAATCAACTTGGAATCCATTCCTCTGCGCTGTGTTGTATGTATCATTTCTACTATCTGCTGCATTTCCGAAGCGATTTGCTCGTCCACGGCCGAATCCAGGTCGTCTTTCACTGAAATTTCCATCGTTGCTGGGCTTTTCATACCATCCTTTCCCTCGGGGCGGTATGTAGGAATTTTCAGAAGTGCTGGTGTAATCTTCGCTTGCTTCCTCCCAGTCACTCATTTTTGCAGCAATTGAGCCGCAAATATCTTTGACGTTCTGGTAAAACTTTGCTCAACCTTCGCTTGACGCTTTCATTGCCGGTAAGAAGCCGCCATTTGTGTTTAAAGCACCCAATGGTTCAAGGGATATGTCTTACGACTGTAGTGCCTAGTCTCGTCTCGGTTTGAGAAAAGCAGAACCCAGTCCTCCATAGTCATTAGCTCCTCTCCCTGATCATTCTTCTTCCCGCCATAGAGATTCTAGTAGCTCAGTGCTTAGAGCATCCGAACTAAAAACGGAGGGTCGTGAGTTCCATTCTCGCCTGGAGCTCGGAATTTTTCCTGACCTTTCTGGTGTTAGATTTCTCCTTCTTCCAAATTATAAATATTTCGACAAGTGGATGCAGCCATCCAGTTTGTTTGTTTATCGAACAAACAATTTACATACGACACAAAAGAAGGTAGTGAACATTCCAACCTCTCCCTTATATCCAACAAGCGCCCGGAATCAAAGTATTCTAATTTTCCCGATTTTGGAGCTAAATGTAAGTTCGAGCCAAACAGTTGCCAGCTTATTGTCTGTGAGTTAGTGTGACAGCTGTTCGCAAGGACTTTGACTGTTTCTGCAACCACCGAACTCCGAACTATGAAAATAAAAACCTCTAAAATCCTCTCTTCCCTTTACTGCGACGGTAAAGAGAAATCTTAACCTATCTAAATAAAGCGAAATAATCTGAATTGTGCTTATTTTTATTTCCCGGGCCTGGAAATAGCTTGCTTCAAGGACCCATTGCCCTCCTGTCAGATTCTCGAGTTATCAAAAAATCAAATGCTTTTTCGTTAGTTCTTTAGTTGCACTGTCTCTAAGACACCGAGAATCCAAATGTCTTAAATACAGGGCTACATCCTGGAATCACCATGTGCTACGATTTGATGCGCGCCTTAGCGTCTGAAGTGCGCGAGCCCAGTAAAGCGCGAGCTGCCTGACAAATAGCTGCTATTATGACAGAACTCAACGTAATAATGGCCGGATTCTTTTAACAGAGGAAGCTTGCTTTACAGAGTCAAGTGCTAAAAAGCCAAGGATTCCTACGCGACACTTCTTATTTCCGTCCATCGTGGTGTCATTGAAATGAGTTGGAGTTTTAAAAGAGTGACAGGAATTCCGTTTAAAGGGTGGTTTACTGCGAAGACGGCTAAAGCGAAGAAATGTAAAAGAATTGACGAAGATGACTTTGATGAAGTTGCTGCTGTACATGTTCAGACTGGTTGGAAAGAGGCATCAGTTTTTGGTGAGAAATTGAAAAAAGGAAGTAATTACCTCGTTAAAAAAGAGAGACACTCGAATGTATTCTCTGCTTGGAAACGAGCGATGGCAAGCCAACCAAGGGAAAAAAATAAGAACAGGGAAGTTAGTTTGAGCGGCGACAGTAGCAGTTTTTTAGAAAGTCGCTCTTGTCATAAGACGTGGAACACAAAGACTGGAAAAGAAATTAAAAGCGAGTCAACACAGCCTGCCTTTCCAGAACTCTTTGAAGCGCGTCCATCAATGTTTGTCAACGAGTTAGCTCCGCCCACACCAGCTACTTTATACGGAGGTAAAGTAGCCAGACAGTCAGGTGACCCAGCACTCATCTTCGAGGAGGCCACCGACAGCAGCGTTCCTACTAATCACGTGACTTTAAACGTGACGGCTGGAAATGCATGGGAAGAGACAAGGAATAGAACAACAATCAACGAAATTTTGACGAAGTACTTCTCAAGGTTCAAGCTAGAAAAGAAGACCAAAGTGAAGAAAGTCCGAATTTGACAGATTACGCAGGCATAAGGAATCCTGTTCATTTATAACTGTATCATCGTTATTCATTATGTTATTACGTTTTAAAGTGATTTTATAATATGTAGTTATTAAGTAGTAATAAGTGAAATATTAACTGCAATGAATAAATATTGAAGGTTACCTGAGGCCTTCGCACTCATTTTTTCCTTGTTCCTGGGGGAATCCCTTACATATCCACTAAATTTAGCCCGCTTATACGGATACCTGGTAATGCAACCTCGTCCCCAGGGCTTTTCCCTTAAAAAATGGGTGGGGCGGCCCCACCCATTTTTTAAGGGAAAAGCCCTGGAGACGAGGTTGCTGGTAATGCGGACAACGGAAACTGTTTTCTTGTCCAATCAATAGATTCTCATTTTAACACGTGTTTACACTGGGAGTTTAACACGCTAATAGGTAGGCTCGATTTCCCCCGTCTCCTGGGTCCGGTCTTTGATCCTCCCCGAAAAGGGATGAGTGCGGGCTCATTTTCCCAAACAGCGGCTGGTAATCGAGCCTAGCTAATAGGGACACCGGACTACACTATCAGGGCGTTTCCACGCGGGGAGGGTACTCCCTACAATGGCCTATGTGGGGAGGTTTCGCCCAAAAGGGGTACCTTTTTTAGACGTCAGGAATATGAACGGGTAAGGATTTCGTTAGTTAAAAGATATAAAAGGGTAGGGATATCTGTCATTTCGGTCCTAAAAAAAGACCAAACAGCCGGCTCACCGACGCATTTAAGGCATGTGAAAGACACAAGAAAACTTCCTCGTGGTTTAAAGAGACAGTGAATTTACACCAGTTAAAAGGGATACAAGGTTCTGATCTAGCTAGGTATATATGAAAGGAATGTCATTTTTCACGAAAAGATATACGAAAGGGGTACCTTTTTCCCTCAAAAAGTGGTACAAAAAGGGTAAAGCGTTGGACCTCGGGGGACGTAAAACGTTGTTGAATAGCCCCCCAGAGGTTGTATACTGTGGTAAGCCTTTCCGTTACTAGCCTACGGCGCGCAAACAAAGTAAGTGAGCGGCGGGTGACAGCAGTAAAGTCTCGAGGGGCTTGGGGAGCGAACTATGAGAAACTATTTTATTTTTCACTCACTTAATTTTAGCTTGTTTGCCTGCACGCCTAACAAAACCACGAGCTACAAAGGCCAGAACTTTTCTGGGGTTGAAAGAAAAACTGGGAAATTTTAACCTGGATCACTGCACATGTCCGCCACTACTAACTCAAACTACAATATACAGGTTGTCGGAACGATTTAAGGTGAAGTGAACGAGACAAACTCGCAAGGTCATGAAGGTAGTTGAAAATCCATTATAATTCGGTCATAGAGTTTGTGGTTATAGGTTCCATAGAAAAATCAAAGTTTTCCTTTATGATTTAGTCTTATCAAGTAGGCTTTCCAGTTGTCCATTCGCGCTATCAATAATTTTGTGCACTACTCTAAACTGTCAGTCAACCAAGTCAGTTACGTCTTGATTCTACGTAAAATTGCTGGTCCGCACATTGCTACACATCGCTAGGAAACTTGACAGTATTAAAACTATAGGAGATACGCGCGTGTAACAAATCATGCATTTATCCAAGAGCCCGTAACCCTGCCGGAGCCACTAGGCTTGGTATGTCAGCACGGCCTTTTCACGGGGAAACGGGCTTTGAGAAAGTCGATCATTCGCGGGAAAATGGAAGCTCCGCTCCGTCTATAAATGTAAGCCGTTCGAAGAATTTGCTGCCATGAAGAAAAGAAACCTAAACGTCTCTAAATCATAAAAAATACAATTTCAGATCCGTAGATCTTGCTGACTAGTTTCTTGGACTTAATAGCACGAAAAATCGATACAAAAATAAACTGCTCTGTGTAAACGCTATCACCCGGGTACTTGATAGTGATCCCTCCGAGTTATGGGCCCCTGGTTCAGCTTATTATGTATACAACATAAGGGTTTGAGGGAGGAAGATCTTAGCACCAAATGTTTTCTGTATTCAGTTTACATGCACTTGTCCCTAGCCCTATGATCTTCGTAGCTGAGAGGTAGGAATATCCCCGTGCCAGGGAGATCTTAATAAACTGCTTTCGCTAGGAAGATCCTAGTACTAGGAACACCAGACAGAGATGGCGGCGGGGGGTCGTTTAGTGGATAATCACGGCAATAAAGGCCGAACATTTCGTTTGACATTACTTCTTTAATCCCTCTTCTACTTGATAACCACACGAACCGAACTTACTGCATGTAAACCCAACGAAAAGTTATTTCGCCTTCTATGATTTTCCTGGTGCTAGGATCTTCCTCTCTCCATGTTAACAGCCGCTGAGTCGTTCTCTCCGGTCTTTCTCTACAAACTCTTCTCTGTATACTGACTGATAACAACTCTTCACAATTTTAACTTACAAAACGTCAGATCGATCAGCCGCAACGGCAATTTAAAAATGAAATGGGCAATTTTCGAGAGTTTTCGCTAGGAAGCCATCCCTGCAGTGCATACTATACTTAGTAGAAGACTGATCAGGTTAGACGTTTCTGATTAAAAAAGGAATTCTCTTCACGACTGGACCTTTCCGAACAATACCAATTTCAACAATGAAGCACACACCAACTCCGCGGTGTGGCCAAGAACTTACGCATGCGCACAGCCATATCACCCGGGCAGTGGCAGCCATGAAAAGCTCTTTCGTCCTCATAAGGACTCATCAGCACGACATGCAAAGACTTCTCGCCCCACGCGAGAGGTCTCAGTTGCGTCCATGGCTGCCACTGCCCAGGTGAAATGGTTGTGCGCAGGCGTAAGGTACTGGCCATACCGCGGAGGCTCTGTGCCAGCACAGTGTAATTTAGATCTTACCCTTTTTGTCTGCTAATGGGAGAGAGGGGGTTATGCAAATGAGAAACCATCTTTTTTAATAAAGTCTAACCTCTCCTTATGGACACCTCTATAATACGGACACCTCTCTTTTACGGACAGTTCGTTTGGTCCCAGAAATGCCAAAAATCATACATTCCCTTCCCAACTACAGTACAGTCAAACCTCTTTAATACGGACACCAAAGGGACAGATCCGCTTTACAGAGGTGTCCGTATTATAGAGGTAGGGAATGTATGATTTCTGGCATTTCTGGGAACAAACGAACAGTCCGTAATAAATAGGTGTCCGTAAGGAGAGGTTAGACTGTAAATGAAAACACCAAGTCTTTCTGTAGATTTTGGATTGGTTGGTGTGCTTAACAGACGTCCTAGCCAAGTGTGTACACAACTCTGCGGTTGGGTAGCTGCGGCGTCTAGTTCACCATTTTTTT